GGAGAGGGAGAAGCAGGCTTCCCGTGGAGCAGGGAGCCCGATGCGGGGCTCCATCCCAGGACCCTGGGATCATGACCTGAGCCAAAGGCAGATGCTTAACGACTTAGCCACCCAGGCGCCCCTTCTGGTACCTAGTTTAATGACAGATACCTGCGAAGGCATACAATAGTCAGACCCATAATCAACCATACAAAGAGGGAAGAAGTGGAAAGTCCATAGGTACCAGTTTCCTGGCTATCTTTATGGGAGTTAGTCTACATAAAGTATATTAAATATATGACACATATGTTTAAATGCTTTTTCACCTAACAATACTGTCTTGAAAATCATTTCCTTTAAGAGCTTTCTTATTTTTTTAACAACCCTATCCCATTATGTGGATGTTACATAAATTATTTAACCAGTTCCTTAGCAATGCTTATGGCATTGTTTGCAGTCTTTTGCTGTGATAAAAATCCCATGGTGAGCAAGTTCATTTTTGCGTATTTGCAAGTCCTACATGATAATTCAATTCCTAGAAGAGGGAATGCTGACGCAGGGCATGCCATTTGGTATTGATTTGTAAAGTGAGAGCAGAAAAAATGAGTGGACTAAGGATCACATGTAGTCGGCAGGTGACCAGTCCGTGTGAGTGTTCTGTTCAGGGGCCTCACGATATCTGATAGCACTTCTTCTGTTTCTGCCCCAGGCTGGAGAAACCATGTTCAACCGTGCTAAACTCCTCAACATTGGCTTTCAAGAGGCCTTGAAGGACTATGACTACAACTGCTTTGTGTTTAGCGATGTGGACCTCATTCCAATGAACGACCACAACGCCTACAGGTGTTTCTCACAGCCACGGCACATCTCTGTGGCCATGGATAAGTTTGGATTTAGGTAAGAGATATCCACCAGAAGCTATGGAAAACCTGACGACTAGGAATGCAGCTCCGCCAGCCCAGGAGTCTCTCTTTAGGTTCCAGAGGAGAATCCTTGCCCTGAGAATAGGGTGCTTTTTAAGGCCAGAGTCAGTTACGGTTTGAGGAGGAACATGAAATTCAGAAACACTCATATCCCTGCACATCCAGGCAAGAAGAGTGTTTGTGTTTGGGATGGCTCTAGCCTGGAGGCTCCAAACAGATGCTGTATTTCCTTGCTTCTATCCCCTCCCCCTCCACCCAGTTTGGGAAGCAAATTGGAATCATTTCCCCCCAGTAAATTCTTGGGTTTGGGTACCTTAGCAGATGTACTTAGTTAAGAAAGAACATGATACTGTTTCCCTGCAAAACACAGGCTTCTGTCTGGACATTGGGACCCAGACATTTCCATCAAAATGCCCCTATTGAGGAAGGCCAACTGATGCCTGTCCCCAAGGGCAGCGGTATAATCCAAAGCATATTGTTGTAGGTGGAAAATAGCCTTGTAGTCCTTTTTTTTTTAATCTTAAAAAAATAAATCATTTTGTTCCATAATTATCTATGTTTATATTAACATAAAATTGTTTTAAATCACCTATTAGTTGAGTAAACTGACCCTTCCCTCACTGCTTTAAGTCAGCCTGAAGTTCCAGGAAGCTGTGTGCTGGGCGTCCCTGGCTTAGGCTGACTACCCCAGTGTGGCAGGCCTGTGCTGACCAGCAGTCCCTTGGTTTAGATACAGATGCTGTCTTTCAGACTCATTTTATTCCCATAATTTCTTTCTATCCTCTCTTGCTGGGGGAATGAGGGCTGGGAGTTGAAAACAGGGATGCTAAGGGGCACCTGGCTGGCTCATTTGGTAGAGCATGTGCCTCTCAATGTCGGGGCCGTGAGTTCAAGCCCTACGTTGGCCACGGAGCCTACTTAATTAAAAAGAAAAGAAAAGAAAAGAAAATAGGGATGCTGGGAAGTCCTTCCCCCAGACCAGCGCCTAAATTGCTGTCTTAAGGAGGGGAGAATTTGGCTGTAAACATCACCCTCCACCCTCCACCCTCCCTCCCTACCTCCCTGTTTGTGTATCTTCTTCTCTTTGAGATACACAGGCTCAAACCCTGCCCGCTCCACATCCCCCCCTTGAAGCGTGGTGGTGATGCCTTCATTCTTTGCCACAGCACCATGCCTGTTTAACCCAGAACCAGTCAGACTTGGGGGACAGGCGGTTGGTCAGAGAAACCAGCACAGACGGCCAAACCGAATCTCACCATCTCGGCATGTACTTTCCTGTGAGGTCACCAAGAGTCCTTTTTGTATAAACACTGATTGGGAGAAACCTTATTGGCTTGGCCCACCTGCTTCAAACCCTCCCTTGTAATCAGGCACAGACTGTAGTGTGAGGTGTGCCCAACGGTGGGTGACTGGGCACCTAAGTGATGACACCTAATTACAGATAGATTACCTTTGACTCAGTGAAGCAGGCCCCCAGGGATCTTCGTGGAGACTCACAGTCAGATGTTCTGAATGTATTTTGAAAATAATAATTGCACCTTTTTTTTTCATATGTTCTGTATGGTTTGGCTGACTTCCCCCTCGAAGTCCGAGTTAAGAGTTTTCTTTAATCTATGTGATGTATTTTTAGTCGCTTTGGATTCCAGTAAGAGCCCTAGTGTAGTTTGGTGCTGCACACAAGGTCATCACAAAAACCACAGCCTTTAAAGGCCCCATGGGAAAGCCTTTGCCAGGCTTCTGGACGTGACCTGAATGTTAACATTTCATCACTGTTGAAATAGTAAAATACCAAAAGGTGTGGAAAGATGAGAGTCCAGATGCCCTACTGCTTGAAAACATGTCAAAATAGATTCACCCTTACACATTTTGCTAAGTCAGGATGTGGTAGAAATTTTCTAGAAAATGTTATTTGAGCAGATTTTCAGAAATACTGTTTTGACTGTTGGGCTCAGTGTTGAAACCAGTATGCCTGTGAAGAATGAAAGTTAGACTGGTAGATGGGCTGAGGGTGGGAAGGGAGGGCATAACCAGGTGGGCACAGGGAGGCTTTACCCCAGTCTCAGTTTCTAGGACGTCCTGGATAAAGATTTCCCATGCAGCAGCAGGACATACGGAAAAGCAGATTCCTGAACGGGGCACAAGAAGTGGGCTTATGCTTTTGTCACTGACTAATTTTCCAGGTAACCACAGAAGCAACACAGTATTCTTAGAGCAAGATTCTCTACTTTTTGATATCTGTGTCTTCTCTAGGATCATCTGAGTCTGATAGAAAAACAGAACAAAGAAAACCGTCATAAATCCCCAATTAAGAAGTCCCAGAGAATAAATATAACACTAGAAGGGTTTATGCTTTGAGCATGCTTTATTTTGAAAAGTCAAGACTTACCTAACCACTGGTCTTTGTGTGTGTGTTTCTCCCCCAGCCTGCCTTACGTTCAGTATTTTGGAGGTGTCTCTGCTCTAAGTAAACAACAGTTTCTCACCATCAATGGATTTCCTAATAACTACTGGGGCTGGGGAGGTGAAGATGATGACATTTTTAACAGGTAACGGTCACAACTTAGATCTCTTTCTTCTCTGTCTCCTTTCACTCCCAGTTTTTCAATCAGCACCTGGTTATTCTGCAAGGATTGCTCCTCAGGTGGGATACAGTTCCCACTTGGCCCACATTCTTTTTTTTTTTTTTTAAGATTTTATTTATTTATCAGAGAGAGAGAGAGCACAAGCAGGGGGAGCGGCAGGCAGAGGGAGAAGCAGGCTCTCCCCTGAGCAAGGAGGCTGATGAGGGACTCAATCCCAGGACCCTGGCATCATGACCTGAGCCGAAGCCAGATGCTTAACCGACTGAGCCACCCAGGCAACCCTTGGCCCACATTCTTAAGTGTGCCCCGCAGTAGGTACCATAGGTGCTGAAGAATGTCTTTAGGAAGATTAGCTTCTGTGATTTTTGCATTAGCTTTGGAACATGCAAAATGAAAACCAAGTGAAGGGTTGAGTTTACTTTGATTTATACCACATGCTGTTTTGTCCTGAAGAAGTAAACATGTGTGCTTTGCAAAAATTCGGCATTTCATTGTGGTCCCGTTTGATTATGAAATAAGTTTCTTTGGGCGGGATCCTAAGTTCCTTTACAGAATCTCTATGTTATTTGTTTATTCTGGAACACTTTTACATACACGAAAGAGGACCGAGTAGTATAACGAACTTCTGTGAACAGCCCCCCCCCCCAACGACTATCTCTCCACTGCCAGCCCCGCCCCACCCACACCCCAAGGGCTCCTTATAAGCTGGTAAGCCTTTATCATGGGGGTTGTCATTGCAGAGGGTAAAAAAAAAAATTCTAATGGCATTTGAAACCACATTCTGCCCAGTTCTCCCTGGCCATGGAGACTTCAACCCTGCCGGCCATGGATAAGAAGTGCCTTCTCCCTCTGGGAGCTAGTCTGAGCTTGTCACTGAGCTTGATATCAGAATAAACCCTAGCACATTCCTGAATTGGAGTACATTATTTGATCCATTCCCAAAAGGTGTGTGTCTGGGCAGCACCCAAGGCAGTCATATTTAGCTTGGTGCGAGAACCTGTCATAGACCCAAGGCTTTACTATCGGCCTGGGAGAAATCGGAGTTGGAGCGCATGCAGATTGATGATCAAGCACCTTCAGCATACAGAGCACTGTGTCCCGCAGGCCCGGTGGGGAGGCCGCTGAAACCCCGTTTAGGGGGTTCAGACAGATTATACAATTTCTTCCACAGCACCACCTGGGCAAACATGGGGCCCATGGGATGGCATTCAGGGCCGATGTGATGCCACAGATCTGAGTGGTGTAGAGGGTTAGTGGGGAGGGAGCCCTGAGGGTGGAGGGACTAGAAGGCAGAGTGATTTGTGGAGCAGCTTTCTTGAAAGATAAAGGACCTGTGTCTTACGCACCTGCTCACCGTGTGCGAGGCACGAGATCAGGACCAGGGGAGCCGAGGCCAGAAGAAACCTTTGAGTCATCCAGGACCAGCCAGGCCTGCCTCTTAACTAACTTGAACTGCTGCTGTCAAGGCTTTGGCTTTGGCCCTCATTCCTTTCCCCCGGACCTACACAGGATCTTCCATCCTGTTCTGGCTGCCTCTCGTCTTTTTCTCTGCTCTCCATCCTTACGGTGCTTAGCAGAGAGACTTCCCTTTGGCCAAACATTTTTGGGGAACTGTATATTATGTCCCTTTCAGACACCGGCACTGATCGCTGGCATGCTATAAAGCTGCTATAAAGCTCTGGGAAGGCTTCCATCATGTAGCCTTCACCCTTCTTTCCAGCCTCATCTCTGACCACTTCCTACTCCAGACTCTGTCTACAAGTCCCCAGAAGTTTGTGTTGCTCCCTGAGGACCCTGTGTTTGCTCTGTCTCTCTGCCTTTGCCTCAGCTGTCCTGGGTGCCCGAAATGCTCTAGCACCCCTTCATCTTCACAACTGGCTCTGCCTAGTCTTTTTTTTTTTTTTTTTAATTAATTTATTTATGTGACAGAGAGAGAGAGCAGGAACACAAGCAGGGGGAGCAGGAGAGGGAGAAGCAGGCTTCCTGCCGCGCGGGGAGCCCGATGTGGGACTTGATCCCAGGACCCTGAGATCATGACCCGAGCTGAAGACAGATGCTTAACAACTGAGCCACCCAGGCATGCCCCTAGTCTTGCTCAGGGAAAATGAGTGGCTTCTCCTCAAGTGCTCAACCCTACCTCCGCTCCTTGCCTCCATCCTGACACTGATGGTCCTGTGTTCTAAGTGTGCACTTTAAGTTCTATGAGGGCAGACACCCCCAGTGCCTGGCCCAGAACAGTCACCAACACAGACTACAGAACCTGTGGTAAATGGACCTGGGGACTTAGTGTGTGTTTCATCCACTACCCCAGTGGCCGGGGAATGGGTTGAGTGAGAACAATAAACAAGATGGTGGAGGGAGCACAAGTCTTGCAGCTGGGGCTTTTGGAGCCAAGTGTTGTGGCAGCTGTGCAATGATGACTTGTCCTTTTACTCCTTGCAGATTAGTTTTTAAAGGTATGTCCGTATCTCGCCCAAATGCTGTGGTTGGCAAGTGTCGGATGATCCGCCACTCAAGAGACAAGAAAAATGAACCCAATCCCCAGAGGTGTGTTCTTTGTTCATTTACATTCCTTCTTTCTCCTTTCAGATGGGGAGGCCGCAGGAATGAGGCTCTGGAGAGGGCTCCATGCCTTGAGGGAGAGGGAGGGTTCTGTCCACGGGACTGGTAGAGTAGGTGGGCCTGTGATGAAGGACAAATGTTTGATGCTTTTTTCTTAAGATTTCTGTTTTGACACCAACCCTTTGCCTATCTTTTCCTTGTAGGTTTGACCGAATTGCACATACAAAGGAGACCATGCTCTTGGATGGTTTGAACACACTCACTTACAAGGTGTTGGACATAGAGAGAAACCCATTGTATACCAAAATCACAGTGGACATCGGGACACCGAGCTAGCATTTCGGTACACTAATAAGAGACCTGAAAATGGCCAGGGACCTTTGCTCTGTGTCTCTGCCAATCTGCTGGGCTGGTCCCTTTCATTCTTAACAATCGGAGTGATAGGCCCCCTTCATTCATCATTCAGATGCCTTTCCAGATGACCAGGACGAGTGGGATATTTTGCCCCCAACATGGCTCGGCATGTGACTTCTTAGCTCTACAAGGTATTTGTAAATGTAGAAACCATCAGCCTTTGGGGGATTCTCGGCATGTTCACAGTGTCACCCCAAAGAATCAGTACGCAGCCCAAAATTTGGTGACTGTGGGACTCATTCCCAGTGATAAACTGCTAATTTGTTTTGAAATAGGTAAGAATTTCGCTTTAAATTGTGGTATTATTACTTTATGAAAAATCGGAGAGTGCTGCTGAAATCAGATTGGTGTGATGTTTTTTGTTTGCATATTTTAACAGACAAACACAATCTCAACCATTCTCATTTTACCCCTTCCCCACCTTCTTTTAGTGGTATGCAACTACTACAATCACTGTGTGTGTGCGCGTGTGTGTCTTTTCGTAGCAAAAGGATTTTAAAACTTGAGCCTTGGACCTTTTGCCCTGCTAATGTGTGAATTCCAAGGCAGCGTTAATGTTCTTGGTGACACTAAGAACAAGGCAGCCTTGGGTGTTCTCACATTCAGTGGCCTTTCTCCAGATTGTCTGATTTCTGAATGTAAAGACTTTTTTTAAAAAAAAAAGCAGTTTGTAGTATTTTAAAGAAAGAACAAATCGGGTTCTAATTATGATCTAGCTTGATTTTGTGTTGATCCAGATTTGCCTAGCTATTTAGTGTTAAATCATGGCAATTTATTTTTCTGAGCATGCTATATAAACTTGAATTTCTTATGTATTTTTATTGTGGTGTTTTAAATGTGGGGAGGGGATTGAGCATTTTTTAGGGGAAAAAATAATGTATGCTGTACTGGCCATGAATGGACCTCTGATTTAGTCAGCAGGCCAGGTTTTGTGAAGAGCAGAATCACCTTTAGGCCCTTTGAGGGTAAGGCCTCCCTGGTCAGAGTTATCCTGCTAGACCTCTGGGGGACGCAAAAGCCTAGGCTTGCTAGACAAAGCTCCCCACCTCCCTCCCCTCCCCAGGTGGGAGGGAACCTCCACCCCTCTTCCAGCCCACCCTGGGACCTTACGCCAGGGCCCTAGGCTGTGGAGTTGTAAATGACAGCCATCAGGTTGTTGACTGGCCCCGTGAGTCTGGGGAGGGGGAGGAAATCACTGTTCTGGCCCCTGTGGAGTCTGGGGCCCACCTCCTTGGCTGTGCTGGCCACACTGTCTGGCTTACCTTGCAGGACGTGTTCTCCTGCCACCGCCCCCCACCCCGCTTTTTTTTTTTTTTTTTTTTTTTTTTCTCCTTCCTTCCTCCCCGTTTTTGTTCCTTCGCCTCTTGCCTGTTCCCTAAAACTTGCCTGTGGCACTCAGGGTCAAACGAACTATTCATTCTCCAGCATGAATGTGCCTTTTAATTAGTCATCTAGAAAGAAGTTGAGCTGAACCCTCCCACACTCCCCCACAACCACTCTGGTGCCTAAAGCCTCCCATCCCCCTCAGGTTTTTAGCAGGTGCTCCCACTCCAGGGAGGCTGATCCACAGGGGTGTCGTCTCCAAACCCATCTCTGCTGGGAGAGGTTTAGCCTCCCTGGGACAAGATGCACAAGGGCATTCCTACCACTGGGCACCCTTGCACGTCCAGCCTGGCTGGGCTAAGGGCAAAAGATTCAGCTGTCTAACCCCAGGGTTGACCCTTCAGCTGGTGGCAGCCTGGAGCCCCACCCTGACCTCCTGGAAACCAGCCCTTAGTGTGGAGGCTGAGCTGGTGCCCAGCCCCAGGCGTCCCTGTGCCTTTATCGCTTGGAGCATCCAGGATGCTCACATGGTTCTTTTTCCAGAAGCCTTTGTATTGATTAAAAATTATTTTCCGCTGCAGAAGCAGCTGGGCTATGCAAAGAGTGTTCTTTCTGTCAGTTCCCCATTCCTGAACAGCGATGTCAGTGGAACCAAGAATGACCGCACTAAGAGGGAGTTTTGGGAAATGCAAAGAATGAAGACCTCTCTTTCTGTCCCCAGATCCTGACTTTTCCAAAGTGCCTTAAAAGAAAGGAGACAAATACCCTGGGTGATAATTTCTTTTTACTTTACTCTTAAAGAAAATTCTGACTTTTGTTTGTTTGTTTTCCTGTCCCTTTACGTTCCATTGGAATAGTCAAGTATGTGGTTCATTCTCAGAACCAAGGGAAATCCCGCTTCACCTGTTGCCCATTTGCTGACCTTCTGGTGCTCTCAGGGGGCCCACTTGGGCCCAAGGTTAGGCCCACATGCTTGCCTGGTTCCTAAGATGCTACAGGTCCTGTTTTCGCTGAGGGTTAGGGAGCATTTCCTTCACCTGGAAGTTGTCACCATGAAGTTGTTGTATGCTGCGTCTTTTCTCTGTTTCTGTCCATCCTGTTGCTGGTGACCCTGTAAAGTGGACTTTGGGAAAGAGGGTGGCAGTGGCCCAAGAGGGTAAAGGAAATGCTGGTGCTGGCTCTCAGGCTGGGCAGGGTCTCTGCCGACCTCAGGGCTGGGCGTGGGGTGCCCCACTCAGCCAGGACGGCAGCTTTCCTGTCCCAGAGACCTGTTGTGTATTTTGATTTCCTATGTATGCAAATGTATGGATTTACCATTGTAAGTGGGCAGGGGGCGGTGTGTGTGTCTGACCTTGGTGTTCAAAACAACTGTATTTTTGTCTTTAAAATCCAGTAATATAACGTGAATAAATGACCTTATCTTTGTAATCTCAGGTGGTTTCTTTTCTGATTTCCGGGGTTTGGGCTCTCCCAGGGCTGGAGGGAAATGATTGGGACTGACTGCTGGGAGGATCAGAGGAAAGCAAAGGTCTGGCACCTGTGCCCCCCTCGTTGTGTGTGTCGGGGGGAATCTCACCTGACTGTGCTCCACCCACCTCGCTGGGATCTGCTGTTTTTGAGGCTTGCGTCTAACATACTGAATGGCGCCTCACAGGCACTTACTACATACAGACTAGCTGGTGCCACATCAAAATAACATTCTTCCTAGCAAGTCTCGGGCCACATTCTGCCATAGTCAACAAATGCTGGGGTAGTTCTGAGATCGTCCCCAGAGCCATTTCCACAAGGTGTTCACAGTGTAACTTGAATGGGTATTCTACAAAATAAGATTTCTTGTCGGTCCCAGGAGATGTAACTATTCTCCAGGGTCTTAGCTGTGACTCAAGGATCTGAGGCAGTATGTACCCCGGGTGCCTCCTCCCCATTGCCCCCAGGATCAGGCACCAGCAACCTCTTATGTGCCGGCTGGATTGACTTGGCATCTGGAAGAAATGTGTCCAAGGAAACCAGGGTGCAGGAGGGGTCGCCCCTGCTCTCCAGGCTGATGGAGCTGGGAACGTGGGACCAACTGGGCAGCAGGAGCAGGAAGGGCAGCGCTTTATAGCCCCCACAGTGCCGTCTGGCCGCCCCCACCCATCCTTGTGGGGCTAGAAGGATCCCTAGGGGCTTCAGACCTGAACAGAGGTTGTCCTGGGCTCAGATCTGACCTTCAAACAGGAGACGACAAGACTCTGGTCCTTTGGACAAAGTGCTGCCTTAGAAGGCTTTGTAAGCTAGAAGGTCTGGGTTAAGTGGAACACCCTTCTGTCCCCAAAGATGCACATATTCACACAGATACATGCATACTAACATGCATAACACACCTGACATGTGCCTAAGAGAGACCAGAGAGCCTGCGTTCAAATCCTACTGTTGCCTCTTCCTAGTGCTGTGACGTGACCAGTCCCCTTCTGGACATATCCAGGACCTCACGGTCGTGTTTCCCCACCCCTTCCTTGCCTCACACCAGCAAAGGTGTTTGGAAGGGCAGCACTGGGGAGGAAGGGGGCTTGAACCCCTAGTGGGCTCTGAGGGTGCCGGGAAGGGAAGAAGGCAGGAGGAAGGGGCCGCAGACAGGCCCCTGGGGTTGGCCACTTCCTTGAGATGTGCTCTGTCTCTAGTCTCCCACTTCTCATGGACCCAGACCAAGTGTGAGCCAGGCAGAACCTGGTAGTTGTGAGTATGGATTCAGTGGGCCCCAGGTCCCCCAGCACAGTACCTTTTTCCATGGGAGAATGTGACCTGGGTGCCAAATCACTGTCTTACAAACGTCCATCAGAGGCAGGGCCGTGGTACCCAGGTTGCTGGGCACTTGTGCAGGTATGAGTGGGACCTCCCAAGGCAGGACTGTTTGCTGTTGGTGACAGAGGGAAGCCATGTGTGGGGAGGGTGGCCAAGTTCTAGGTGTTGCCAAGTCTCCACCACACTTCCAGGCTCCCCTCCTCTTGTTTGTTCCAGGAGGTGAGAGTTTGCTCATTCCCTGGGGCCAATTTCTTAGAACTGGGACTTCTCAACCCTGTTAGAAAGGAAATGAGGTTTGTCTGGCTGAGCAGGTCATGCCAGACAAGTCTTATTTCCTCCGCTGGCCAGAGTCCCTAGGCAGGGAACATGGCTTTTGCCTTCATCTGGGCTCGGGGAACTGTACCTGGGCTGTGAGGCAGAGGAACCTTCAGGGCATGGTTGTGGGTGGGGAGTGTTAGGGTCAGTAGACCAGAAACCAGAGGGATATGACACTCCAAGGACATCTGCCCTTGAGCAAGATGTGTGCCAGGTCAACCAGGCAGGGGGGCCTGGGAAGATGGCCAGGAAAAGGCCATATAAACAATGATCATTACTGCTGGCTCTTTTCTGCCTTCCCACTCACTGTGTAACCCTGGGCAAGTTGATTCCCCTCTCTGAGCCCTCAGTTTGCTCTTCTTCTGTTTCAGGACTTGCTCCCAGAATCCACCTCTGGTCTCCGCATAGTTCTGTCCTTTCCCCAGTAGGAAGTGCCCTGATCTTGGGTTTCCTCTTGTACCTGAGGTTAACCCTTCTTACCACCTTGAAGGAAGTCACTTTATCTCTGAGTCTTCATTTATAAAAATAGCAGGATCACCCCTACTGGCCCTGTGCAAATCAAAACCACACTGAGATACCACCTTGCGCCAATTAGGATGGCTGTCATCAAAATAGCAGGATAAATATTGCAGAGGATGTGGAAAAATTGGAACCCTGGGCACTGCTGGTGGGAATGTAATATGATACAGCCCTTGTGGAAAATCACATGGTGATTCCTCAAGAACTTAAACATAGAATTGCCATATGGTCCAGTAATTCCACTTCAGGGTATATACCCAAAAGAAATGAAAACAAGGACTCGAACAGATATTTGTATACCCATGTTCATAGTAGCCTTATTCACAACAGTCAAAAGGTGGAGATGACCCAGTTGTCTATCAACAGATGAATGGATAAACAAAATGTGGTGTATACATGCAATGGAATATCATTCAGCCTTAAAAAGGAAATTCTGGGGCGCCTGTGTGGCTCAGTCAGTTGGACGTCTGACTCTTGGTTTCAGCTCCTGTAGTGATCTTGGGGTCATGGGAACGACTTCTGCGTTGGGCTCTCTGCTTGGCCTGGAGTCTGCTTGGGATTCTTTCTCTCCCTCTCCCTCTGCCTCCCCGCCCCCACTCTCTGTCTCTGAAATAGATACATAAATAAAATCTTTTTTTTTTATTAAAGAAATTCTGACATATACTACAACATGGATAAACCTTGAAGATGTTAGGCTAAGTGATATAAACCAGTAACAAAAGGGCAAATATTACAGGATTCCACTCACTATATGAGGTACCTAAGTAGTCAAATTTATAGAGACAGAAAGTCGGGTGATGGGTGCCCTGGGGCCGTAGGGGAGAGTGAGTAGAGGGAAGAATGGAGAGTTAGTGTTCAATGAGTCCAGTTTTAGTTGTAGAAGATGAAAAAGTTTGGAAGATGGATGGTGGTGGTAGTTGTACAATATGAGGGTACTAAATGCCACAGAAC